TGTGCATCTTCCAGGCTAGGGCTTTTATTTTCAATTTTTTGCCAATGCATTATATATAGTATGGAAACAGGAGTGGGGTGAGGGCATCCAAGAGTTTGGATCCTCTCCTCTCTCCGAAAAATCTCAATTATTGAAACCAGGGTTCGTACGATCCATAAAGGCCCGTCTACACGTAGCAATTTTCTCGGCCGACTTATCTGGCCAACAATATCTGAGATAGCTCGCCTGTCCACATGGAATGATTTTCTCATTAGTACAGGAATTCACTCAGCCAATCACTATGAAAGGAAGTGTTCCCGCCCTCTACAGCGTCACACTGTCTACGATTTGTAAACAAAGCTTACGGTGTTGTCAAATAGTCAAAATAATGGATGACTATTTTAAATTGCTACTATAGATACAGCTACAATTTTGAACTTAGCTCCTGCTACAGACGGGGAAAAAAATGCATTTGGACCAGAAATTGGGTCAAACAACGAGAAATTCATAGTGCCTTCGTAATTCCCTGTTCTGGGAGTTGTGTATTGAAGACACAGTACAATTCGAAAAGTATTTACGGATGATGCCGCGTGATTTTGATTTTTTGCTAAATTTAGTTTGCAGGAAAATTTAAAAAAAAAATACTTTTCTTTTGTGCACTGAGTACACAGGTTACTTCTTTTTTAGTTTATTTATTTATTTTTAAACTTCACTTTCTGGCACTCCTATTTGTGCATTTAAATCTTGAAATAATAAAAAAAACCATGTTTCAGAAAAAATAAGTAACTACTGTGCTTTAAATCAAAACCTTTATTAATGAATAAATAGACAATAATATCATGAATATCAAACCAATATGAGTAAAAAGTATTAATAAAGAATAAAGATTACTACATTACAGAGCAATAGTGTAATTTCAGTGCAAAAATTTTAAATAAGAAATATCATAAGCAGGGCTTAATTTCTAAAATTAGAGGTGCCGGAGCCCTATGCAAGAGCGTCAGGAAAAAGGAACAAGAGTAAATAAATAAATAAAATGGCCATTAAAATCATTAATAATTTAAAAATTAAATAGTTAATTATTACCAGATTAATTAATAATTATTAATATTAATAATCAATATTTGTATTTTTATTTAATTACTACTTATTGTTCAGTTAATTAATAATTCCTTATTAGTCATTAAAATTAATTTACAGAGACAAATTTAATTTTAATAAGTGATTTTTTAATATAATTTTATTGCTAAAAGTAAAATTTTCGAGATCAGATTTCTATTGAAACTGTTGTTCGGTTACACAGAAGTGCCGGAGCCTTCTTATTTAGGGCTCCGATGCGCTCCGTCTAGAATTATGATTTATTCCCAAAACTAAGAAGTACCGCAGCTGGGCTCTGGTGGGCTCTGGCGCAATTTAAGCTCTGATCGTAAGGTGCAAAGTCTTAAGTAGTATCTTTATTGAACATAAAAAAACTAATATCAGCATAATTAAATAACTAATACAGTCTGAAAACTATGATTATATGACTCTATCAGTTAATCAGCGAATAAAATTTAGCAATATTGAAATAAATTGGGCTGTAATTTGCTTTCGCAAAATTCAATTAACACAAAACTGAGTTTTTGACTTTTGACTTTCTTTTGATCAGTAGATCTAAAACACGTGCCAACGGCCATTCGAAAAATAAAAAGAAAGACGTTAAAATTCAGTAAACACCCCAATCGTAGGCAAAAATAAAACGCGAATTTTAAGTTATGCAGTTCGAATTTAATGATGGAGAAACTAAATTAAAACGTTCTTCCAGGAGCAGAAAACCCAAAATTAGAGTGGGGGATCGAACCCACGATCTCGACATACGGAGAAAACTTAGTCTACTCTTTACCACTAGGCTATGATCGCACGTGATGAGCTGTTGGAAAAGCAGTGTACTTCGTCACCTGATTAACTCCCATTTTCAGCAAAGTCAATTGAGTCTCTGCGCTGCTTTATTCTCGACTGCAGATTTTGCTTTTTTAATTTTTTCAATAAGTGCGACCACAGTTTCAAGTAGTTTCTGAATATTTTCATCTAGTACCCATGGGGGAAGGCAAATCTTATAAAAATAAGAGAATCCCTTAATTTTTTATTTTTAAAATTTACATTACTTGTGTCCCACAACACATTTTCTCTATAGAAATCTATTAGTTGAGTTTCACTCCAACGAAATGCAGCCATGTTTATTATTCGAAATGAGGAGAAAAGCATGTGATCACTCAAAGCAATCTCATTGGCTAGAGACTCCGATTTTATCGGACGCTAGTGAGCAGTGAACACGAAATCTGAAATCGTGGCAAAGACCATGACCGATTTTTGGCGCATGCGCAGATCCTAAAAATTGTTGCTCTACGAGAAAGTCGGCCGAGAAAATCACTTCGTGTAAACGGGCCTTAAGAGTCCTTAAGCTTTTTTGGTCCTTAAAAGTCCTTAATTTCGGCCAAAAAACGCATAAGGTCCTTAATTTTAATAATGTGAAATTTCTGTCTGTTTTTACGACTGCCATTTTGAGTGTGAATTAGAATTTTGGAGGTATATTTTTGGAGATTCACTGATAAATCTTTTGAATGGGTTATAATTTGTTCCTATTTCTCATATAAATGTAGGATACTCTAGTTTCTGAGCAAGAAGGGAAGCATAAGCATTTCGAAATTATTTCACTTTTTCTAACGAAGAGATCTTAAACAACTTTTCGCTTTTGGAGATGTGAATTCTTTTATTGAACAGCTCTAAATTTGGCGACTTATAACATTTTGGTGATTTTTTAAGATCAGTTTCTGTAGTAAATTTTTAATTCTAAGATCTGGAAATTTTTCTACTATAACATAGATAAATTTCATTAAAATAATGCTAATATATTGAAATTATATTTAAAAAATAACATTAAAATGTAACATTTTTATTTTTTGCTGTCATATACAGTCAAAAGTCATTAATCCGGACTCGTCGGGACTTCGCGATTCCGGATTATCGATTTTTCCGGATTATAGATCATCAGTTTAAATCTCGTAAGATGGCATGCAGAAATTCTAAAATTAGAAAATATAAAACCGTAATTTATGAAATAAAGAACAATTACGATCTAAAGGGTATCAAAATTTACAAAAGAAAAAAAAAAAAAAAAAAAGCTTAATATTTATTTGTTTACTTTATTAAACATTTCTTTCAATGTAAGTTGTTTAAGTTGCTTCATTTTATGTGATAATACTTTCTCTTTAATTCTATAAACAGACATAATTTCTTGTTCAGTTACAAAGTTCCGCTGTTCAAGTCCCGTAATTGCTGTGCCTAGAATACCGACTAACTTGTCAATCGAAATTTTTTCGTTTTCACTAACCTCTCTGTCACCTTCTTCATGTCTTTATCCATTTTTTGCAGCAATTCCACTTTTTGTTTGTTGGACATCGAAACATACTTTCGTTTTGTAGATCCTTTGGGAGCTCCAGCATCGGAAATTCTATTTGGCATAATCGAAAGTTCAAGTTTACTTTTATAAAATTGCTCTTACTGTCTGCAAAAAATAATAAGCCGGATCCACTTTGAAGATTAAGGAACAACGCAATCATCAACATTAACTGAAGTAGATAATTAGATAATTTTAGCTTACACCGTCCGTTATACATTAAACGTGCACGCGAAAATGTATTTGCATACACGCATATGCGCAGTCGTAAAGGTCTTATGCACACGCGTAAACACCTATGCGCATGTGTCAACGCGGCGCGTGTGCAGAAAGTTTTTAGCTTTGAGGTCCGAATTAACGACTTTTGACTGTATAAAGTTCTATTTGGTCACTTATTGTACAATATTTTGAATCTGAAAAATAAATAAGGTATAGTGCTATAAAGCACAATTTATGAAAAAGTTCTTAGCAAAAGCAAAATAGCTATGTAATTAAAAATATCTTCATTTTAATTTTCCATGATAAGAGTTTTCTCATTGTCCCAGAATATTCAGAATGCTGAGAATATGCATCAGTTTTCTCTATAAAATTAATTTTACAGTTTTCCCTGTGATATTTTTTTTTCTTCAAAATATTTCTAGCTGTTTGCTGTTACAAAATTGGTAGGAGTAATTTTGCTTAGGAACATTAGATATTACAACTTGAAAAAGGATGCAGGTTTGAAAGTTTAGAAGGATTTGAAGGCAAGATTTATAGACCTTGGATTCTAGAAGATTCTAGGCCCACCAGCGGCCGAGCGGTAAAGTCGCTGAACACTGGTAGTTCGGTCCGAGGTTCGAATCCCGCGAACGGGCTAGCTGCATGGATGTTTTCATGGTTTTCCCCATGTCTAACATGGTCCCATGGTCTAAACATATAATTGGCGATGGTTTGTATTCCTTAAGGTTTAATTTTTTCATAATCTTTCAAATCATCATCTTTAATATATACTAGAATATTAGAAGATTTATCACCTATCAGTGTAAGTAAAATTTCAGACTTAAACTCATTTGGTATGTTCTTATGCTTAAAAGCCCTTTCTATTGAGTCAAAAAATAAGTTCCATGCTTCACCCTTTTTAGGTACAGAAATCGATAATGCCTGTACAGCTTTCAAAAGCTTGTCTAATGAAAGCGTATTTTCTATGTTGTTACTAGATTCGTTGCTACTTTCGATTTGCATTAAACGCAGTTTCACAAATTCTTCTGACTTTTTCCTTTCTTCAACCGTAGTATTAAGGAATTCAATAACAAAATCTTTATCTTTCAAATATTCTTTAGAACTTAAAAGCTTATCTTTTAATTCTACGACTTTTAAACTAGAATCGGCTTCTTCACCGAGTTCCTTCAACACCGAAATCGAATCACTTTTAACTACTTCCTTAAACATATTTATCAGAAATTTTCTTTAAAGTTACAACAAAAATTTCTCTCCTTTTCTCAAAATCCATTCACCTTCGTTCGCTTTGGTTCTCGTAAAAGAGTGTGCTGTAATGGCATCATGGATGAATAAGGCACCATTAAAAAAATGAAATAAACATTTATTAAAATTAACGTTCAAAGATTAATAGTAAACTCGGAGCAGTACCTCGCTCCTACCACCTTCCTCCTCTGAGGCTAACATGCAACTGTCGTCTCTCTCACTTGCTGGGCTCCGGCAGGCAGCTGATTGGCTCACAGCAGCCAGCTACATGACAACTTCTATTTATTTTTAGGTACCAAGCATAAAAAATTTCTGAAAGGGAAAAATACAGCTTTCAGTGGAATAACAAGCTTTTCCCAAAAGCAAATCCTATTAGTGTTGCACCTTTCAGTTCCACGAGTGTTATTTGTGCTTCATGAAATTCAAATACTTTAAGGAGCTTTAAAAGATATTTTGGATGCTGAAATTTTGTAGTGTTTGAAAGTGGTGATAAGTCGTTACTCTTATAGATCTAGCAGTGACGTGGGCAAACTTTTTTCAAGTATGTTCCCTGACAGTGTTATAGCAAGAAACGTTTCTTTTAGTGAGAGGAAATTTGCTTATCTCTGCCATTTTGGATTAAAACCTTATTTTCAGAGTCTCATATATGATGAATTAAAAAATATATCCCACTTGCTATTTGACGAGACTTTGAATAAAAGAAATAAAAAAGAGCAATTAGATTTGCATATCAGATATTGCCAGTCTGACCAAAATCAGGTTGTAACTCAGTTTTTGACATGTTTTCATGGGACATGCAACAGCTGCTAATATTTGTGAAAGTTTTAAATAGGAGTTAAAAAAAAAAATAATAATAAAAAAAAAAAAAAAAAAAAAAAACTGCTTATCTGTTGGTAGTTGTGGCTTGCATGTTTTGAACAGTGCTTTCTGTAAAGGAGCATTGACTACAGGATGGGTTATACCTACTACTTTAGGAGCACTGTACCATCTAATCAAAGATTCTGCAGCACATCGAGAAGATTTTTTAACAGCGAGTGTGCCATTGACTTTGCCATTGAAATTTTGTAACCATAGGTGGCTAGAGAATACACCAGTATGTTTGCATGCCTTTGAAATTTGGGAAGATATAAAAGGTTATGCCAAGCTAGTGAGAATGGAAAATATGCAAACATATGAAATAATAAGAGATGCAATTAAAGACAAATTAATGCCTATAACATTCTTTTTTTTCCCACTCCATTTGTATGGCTGGATTGGTCAAATCAATTTTGGAATTATACCAAAGGAATGAATCACTTATTTATATTTTTGCTTTTGATTTATACTAATTAGTAAAGCAACTTTTGCAACATTTCAAAATAATAAAAGAAGAGTGCATGCTGAAAATCAGTTTATCACTGAAGTATTTGTGTAACTTTGATTTTGCTGAGAAATGTATTATTACTGAAATAAGCAAAATTAATTTAGGATTTAGGTATGATAAGCTCTTGTAAGAACTATACACTAAAAAAGACATCATGGATAAAGATTACCTTTCTCTTAAATGTGACTTGCAAACTTTTATTTTACAACTACAGTCAAAAGTCGTTAATCCGGACTCGTCGGGACTTCAGCGATTCCGGATTATCGATTTTACCAGATTAGAGATCATCAGTTTTCAGTTTAAATCTGGTAAGATGGCATGCAGAAATTATAAAATTAAAAATATGAAACCGTAATTTATGAAATAAAGAACAATTATGATCTAAAGGGTATCAAAATTTACAAAAAAAAAAGCTTAATATTTATTTGTTTACTTTATTAAACATTTCTTTAAATGTAAGTTGTTTAAGTTGCTTCATTTTTTACGTGATAATACATTCTCTTTAATTCTATAAACAGACATAATTTCTTGTTCAGTTACAAAGTTCTGCTGTTCAAGTCCTATAATTGCTGTGTCTACCGACTAATTTGTCAATCGAAATTTTTTCGTTTTCAATAACCTCTGTCACTTTTTTCGCTATCGGAAGCGAATTATAATGACGAGGAATTTGATTTAAATCATATCAAAGACGGAGTACATCGAGATGAAATACTACATTCAGTAAGGAATTATAAGCCAAATAAAATAAAAACATCTGCCCTGAAGATAAGGATAGTGCTGACAGATCAACTTCCAATTCATTGTGCGCCCGCCGCAGCGTTAAAGATAAACAAAGTTTAGATAAACAAAGGATATGCCTTTATCCATTTTTTGCAGCAATTCCACTTTTTGTTTAATGAACTTCGAAATATACTTTCGCTTTGTAAATCATTTACATATTAATAAATATATATCAGAAATTCTATTTGACATAATCGAAAGTTCAAGCTTACTTTTATAAAATTGCTCTAACAGTTTGCCAAAAATAATAAGCCGGATCCAATTCGAAGGTTAAGGAACAACACAATCTGCAACATTAACTGAAATAGATAATTAGATAATTTTAGCTTATCTTATACCGTCCGTTATACATTAAATGCGCGCTCGTAAATGTATTTTGCGAACGCGCACAAGCATATTCGCAGCCGTAAAGGTCTTACGCGCATGCGTCAACGTGACGCATGCGCAGAAAGTTTGTAGCTTTGAGGTCCGGATTATAGATCATTCCGGATTATGGGTGTCCGAATTAACGACTTTTGACTGTACTTGAAAAGTTGATGGAGAAGTATCCAGTTAATTAGCCAATAATTCAAAATGTTGTTAGTATGGATCCGAAGTATATGGTGCAAAAGAGCACAAAGGTATACAGAAAAATGAAAAGAATATTGATGCATTTTTCCCAAAAATATAACATTGCAGAAGAAGAATGGGGTAATATTCTTTTGGAATATTCTGACTTCATCGAAAATATTATCCAGCCATACCTTACAGAATTTAAAACCTATGATGTGGAAAAAATGAGATTAGATACTTTTTTTTTTTTTTTTGCACATATTCAATAATGAAAAATACTTGATGATATAGATACAATAATGAATACTTGATGAATAATGAAAAAGTTATGGGCAAAATTTAAAGTGATTTTTTATTTTTTCCCTTGGGCAAGCCTTTATTGAATGAGGATTTAGTATCAGTAAAAATATAGAAATTGAAAATCTGGGGCGAAATTCATACATTGCCCAGTGCGTAGTTTGTGATTATGTGAAACACGCTGGTGGAATCCAAAATGTATCAGCTGCGAAAGAGATGAGAGTGGCAGCTTCATCATCTCTATTCACAGTATCAGTAATTTATTTTTTTTAAAGCGGGGGATAAAAACGAGAAAAAAAATTGTTCAAGATAAACAAAGAAAAGGAGAATTAGCAGATGACTTGATTTCTATTAAAGGAAAGAAAACTCTTATAGAAAGAGAAATAAAGTGCTTGAAAATAAGCAAATGAATTTGCTGAAATGTCCGAAGCTACAAAAGTTTTTAATCTTTAACTAAATCTAATCAAATGTTAAAAATTATTTGTGACAAACAAATCCAGTTAAGAGAACTGGATTCAAACGTCAATGAAAAGAGAGAAAGGGAAAATCAAACATAAAAATTTTACTATTCATTAATGAGCATAAATCTTTTTTTCTTGGTTTCTTTTTTTTATATACTGCAAAGTACTTTGTATAAATATGGTTTATTATTATTTATTTTCTGCATTTTTAACCAAAATTTCATCATTTATCATTTTAACTGAAATTTCATCATTAAATCTTGTAATATCATTTAGCTTTATATAGGTTTCCCCCTTCATTGTGAACTAGTTCTGTACATTGAACTTTTACTTAAAATTAAAAATAATTTTAATTGTTTTCCATGGTTGAGTAAGGCTAATTCTCTCATAATAAGCACTGAATTTCTTGTATTTTAAATGACAAGTCTCATTTTCATTTTAAGATTATGCAGTTCTGTATATATGTAATTAAAAAATTGCTTACTTTTTTAATTAAAATGTGGCTACTAACCCTGAACTTAAGAGTAAATGGTTCATGGACCATTTCATTAAAGAAGCTAAAAGACGTTTTAACAGTGTGGGGTTACCATTAAATTACAAGATTTTAGTGTTGATCTGCACATCCAGATGCAACCATTTTAGCCATGTGATAATGTTGTGGCCCTTTTTTTCTGCTCCAAATACTACATCATTGATCCATTCATTGGACCAGGTCATAATACTGTGTATTAAATGCAATACAAGTTGGAATTTCTGAAAAAAAAATTCTTTCAAGAGAGAATTCTATTTCACTTCGTGATTATTTAAAAAAAAAAAAAAAAAAATTCAAAAAAAAAAAAAAAAAAAAAAAAAAAAAAAAAAAAAAAAAAAAAAAAAAAAAAAAAAAAAAAAAAAAAAAAAATCCATTTGTCAGTAAAATCACGGAAATCTGTTTCCCAAACGACATTAGTAAATGGCTGTCATAATACGAGTATATGGCCATCTTCTCTGGTCATTAAAAGTAAAATCAATGACAGTGAATTTTCTAGTTTTAGGGTCAGTGCAGCAGAGGTTAAAGCAACTGAATTCTATATTTGAAAGAAAGAACAATTAAGTAGGCTTTAAAAGAAGATATCGTTGAATGAGGGATGTTTCCAGATGAACCAATCAGAAGACCGATGATGAAATTGTTGGCTCTGTTTTGAGCTCGACAGAGCAAGAAAATGATTGTGACTCTGACCAGATAGTGAATTTGATAGGAGTGAGAAAATATCTTTTAATGAAGGTTTGCAACATGATGAAAAGTACCTAAACTTTTTAGAACAATAGAAGTGTGTCACAGAGCAAGAGATTGCCACTCTATATTACTCGGGGGAAAAAAAAATGTGCTGGAGAACCCTGAAGTTTTAAAACAAACCTCTATCAGAAAAATGTTTGAAACATGTAAAAAAGAGGGGGGAGGAATGGTACTTACGTATTATGATGACTGACTACCTTGGCAACATTTGCCTATAAAAATCTTCATTGGCATTTTTAGGTTTATATTTATAAATTCTTTTAAAAATAAAAGCCATAATATAAAATAAAACAAAAACAAAAACTAAAAAACCAAAAATCGAAGATATATTATAGTATACTATAAACTATAAAATACTAAATTAACTTTACGTTAAAAACGTTTATTTGAAACCATGATCAAAAGATCACCAAAAAGTTTCACAAAAATTTGCTTAAAAGTGGAGATAGTCAGAGGAGAGATACTCTTAGTTTAAGCGCTCTGTGTAACCTACGTAGGGGTAACCTGTTACTAACTACAAATGTCTGCTTTGATGAGATTTAAAGTCAAATAAATAACAAAAAAGTTATGTAATTTTTGGTCATTGTGGTGATAGTAAGTGCAGGATAATACTCTTTATTTTAGCGCTCTGTGTAACCTATGTTAGGGGTAACCTGTATAACCTACAAGGATTGTCAGCTTTGATGAGATATCTAGGTAGTCGTCATAGTACGTAAGTACCAAAGAAACATTTTATGCTTTATTATTGTCACTTATTTCGATATGTGCTTTATGGTACATGTCCTTAATGCCCATTTTTTTTTCCACTTCTAGTCTAAATATTATGTTTTATATTTTCTGACCTGAAATTCATAAAATCCACACAACATCTGGTCTCAGGCATTGTGGATTTCTCGTCGTCGTCTGTATTTTACTAGTATTTTGTTTTCCGCCTCCCCTCCTTTCAAAATTCTATAGATTTTAGCAGTTAAAATGTCATGATACTGGAAGACGGATGTTTTGGATAATTCTCAAGAGATGGTGATGAAGATTTAGAGTCTCGAACAAAATTTCAAAAGACCGATAAAGAAAGAAGTGCAAAAATTTTTTTGTCATTACAGTGAAAGCTCTTTATGAGCTTTACATCGACTGGTGATACAGAATGTCCTGTTCCGACATGCCTTGTTTGTGATAAAAGAAAGTTTTTGAATACAGCAATGGTTCCACCAAAATTGAACATGCATTTGATGACAAACTATACTAATATGAGAATCAAAAAGGTTGATTATTTTAACACTCTGTTAAAATCTCAAAATAAATAGAGCGTAGCTTTTGTAAACATATTCACAATTAGTGGAAAGGGTCAGGAAACAAGTTATTTGGTAGCAGAGCGTATTGTGCAGAAAAGGAAAAGTCATGCAGTGGGGGGGGGGAATCTGATGATGTCCGCATGTAAAATTACAGTGGATAAAATGTTGGGAGAAGATGCAGTAAAGAAAATTAAAATATTCCCCTTTCAAACAGTACAGTAAGTCAGCAAATCAATGATATGTCACTTCATGTTGAAATTTTATATGATAAAATGAAAAAATTCAAATTTTCAATTTAAGTGCTTGAGTCAACAGATTTAACCCACAAATGTGATGTTCTAGCAATTGTAAGATTTGTTAATGAGAAATTCAAGAAAACTTCCTCTGCGATAAAGAAGGATTTGAGACAAGTAGAGGAATGGATATATTTAATATTTTATCTGGATATCTGAAAAAAAAAAAAAAAAAAAAAAAACACAAACAAAAAAAAAAAAAAAAAAAAAAAAAAAAAAAAAAAAAAAAAAAAAAAAAAAAACTTTCTTGGAAGAATTATATTGCCATTTCTGTGGTTAATGCTGCTTCTGTGGCTGGCTCCATAAAAGGCTTTATTTCTGTTGCAAAAGAAAAATGCCAATGTTGTTTCTACATACTTTTTTATTCATATACAAGTATTGATGTCAAAATCTCTTGGTAAAGAGCGTCAAAAGGTATTTGATATGATATAAAAATGGTAAACTTCATTAAAGGAAAACCACTTCATTCCAAGTTTGAACTACTGACTGGACTAATGGACAGCAACAAAGTGAAAATGGATGACACCAAATTTCATATTAGTATCTGATGTTGAGGAGCTGTCAAATAAAATTTATTATTATTTTCCATCCCTGCGAGCAGAATTGTACAATTGGAAAGGAACCATTCTCTTGAACTTTTGTTCATTCTCAGAACCTAACTTAACTTCTTTAAAAAAGAACTTTGTGACTAACATTTGGATTTTTGGATCATTTGGATGGGTCATCAAATATGAAATTTAATGACATAGTTTTTGATAAATTCTGGATTTCTATTTAAAGTGAATGTCCAACAATTTTCAGAAAATAATTTATTGCTGCAGTTTTCAACATCATATATGTGTGAACAAGCTTTTTCATGTTTAACAAGTATTAAGAGTAGGGCTGAAATTCGTCTCCTTTCTTTGGAAGATAAAATCTGCATATGTATATCAAAAATCAGATTCTGAATCCAACATTTATGTTCCAAAGAATGCACAGACTTCACATTAATATTTGTTTTAAATTGCTAGACGAAAGAAATTTATTATTTATCTCTACTTAATTATATTTAGAATTATATGTGCAGTTTTTTTGTGTGGAAATTCCAGATCACCAATTTGAGAGGTAGAGATGTGTATTCAAGTTATTACTCAATTAGTATTTATTTATTTACCAATTAAATATATCTAAGTTCAGGAAAGAGACATATCAGGATGATACAAACTCAAAAGTAAAAAATATAATAATTTTTGTTCTGAGCTTATGAGCTTATCATCGCTGTGGGAACTCGTTAACTATGCAACAATGAATCTAATTGTTGCCACAAAATAAAGGATTGAAATGATGGCCATTTTTTGTTTCCATTAATGATTGTGAATAAAAATATTACAAAAAGATATTATTACATGGATGCTGGGTATCACTAGAACTTGAATATCGTCACAAGGATACCAAAAGAATGAAACGGAAACAGTGAGCTACAACATTAGTATTTTCAATGACAGTAGCATGCCTCACTTAAAATAAGTGACTGAAATTATGGTCATTTTTTGTCTCCGTTAATGATTGATAATAAAATTATTATGAAAAGATATTGTTATATGGACACTGGGATGCACTAAAACTTGAATATTGCTGTAAGGATACCAAAAGAACAAAAGGTAAACACTGAGTTACAGCATTAATATTTTTAATGACAATACCATGTCTTGCTGTAGAAATATTTTAAAACATAGGCAGTCATATTAGACAAATTTTGAACGAAACAGAGGCCCAGTGAGCCTCAAGCAGAGTTGATTGGTGCTTAGAGATTAAAAATAATAATAATAAAAAAAAAGTTTAAATAGAATTGTCTGATGGAAAAAAATTTCACATTTGAACAATAAAATCTCTTCATTTTTCACTTCTGCCTCTTCTCCCACTTGTCTTTGTATGGATGCAATAAATTTAAATCACATTTTTGTTAATTTTTTTCTATTTAATATTCTGTTTGTTAGCTCAGAAGGGATATTAATTTCGTTTTGGTATTTTGTGTCACAAACTTTAAAAGTCTGAATCACGTTTTAAATTGTTGCCACCAAATATT